TAGTGACATCACTATGTAACAATTGCTAGCGCTCTAACACATTGTATGTGATTAACCAAGGGGTGGGACATCTCTAAGCGGTTGAGCAATAATGACAGAGCCAGCTAACCAATCAGAGCCGACTTGGCTTTGGTTTCATACCTGACCTTTTTGAACACTAAAGCATGGACACAAATACAAATCTGAATCTCAAAATTAGTATAATAGGGCCCCTTTAAAGTAGCATTACAGATAAAAAGAGGTTTTATAGTTAAACCTGGTATTATTGGAAACTACAGTCTACTACTTGAAACATGGAAAAAGCATATCCACAAGATTTTTTCACTAAACCCTAAAATAAATCCGTATCTGCTGTTTTCAGTTACTGTTTGATTTCATTGCGTTCACATGATGGACTTCAGCTGATTTAGCAGCCACATGTAGATGCTTGTTCTGGCTTTAGATAAGTCCCAACTCTCCCAGCCGTAATCACAATGGATGTTGACTTGATTAACAAATTAGAAAACAGTAATTACACGAAGATGCCATTAGATCTCTTGGCAAGTTGAAACTATGCCCGGAGTTATATGATGTCATCAGATATCTACGTAACGAGTGCAACACAGCATAGGAAAATGTGGAAGTTGTCAGCTAACACACACACACACACACACACACACACACACACACACACACACACACACACACACACACACACACACACACACACACCACACACACACACACACTCACACACAGTTCTGATTGGCTAATCAGACCAAAGTGAAAACACCTGTGGCCTTTTGTGATATATCATGATAAAATGTTTTTTTTTCTACTCTCTTTTTCTGCTTTGACATTGCAGCTAACATATTATACAGTGAGTGGGTTGTTCACAATGTTCACCATCTTGTTTTGTAGCGTCACAATGTCGTCTAGAGTTCAAAATTAATACCTTTATGCTTTGTTTTGGCTGAGCAATATCAGACCTCTGCCTGAGCCTGATACAGTTCACTCACTGAAGCCTGTTTTTGGGATTGAAAAAGTGTTTCATCTCCATTTTTACTTGATCTCCAAATCACACAGGAAAGAAGAAAAAGGAAAATTGTGTCCCAGAGGAGAGAGTAAAAGATTAACAGATAGCGTGTGTTGGTGCATTACTTCACTCCTACAGACTCACACGGTCAACAGTGAGTCATCTGTCTGGAGAATATGTCACTTTGGGTTTTCTCGCTGACCTTTAAGCGGCACATTTTCTGATGCAAGCACTCAAATGTCAAATCCTGCACCCTCTTCACCATCTTGTTTGTTTTTTATTTCCGATGATACATAGTGTTTTGGTTATTTCAAATCTCGCATCCTTCACACTGAATCAGTGTCATTGCCTCCTGTGATGAATCCAGCTCTACTCAATTTAATTACGTTTTGAATTGAATCAACAGATGCTATTGCCAGGTGTGTGTGTGTGTGTGTGTGTGTGTGTGTGTGTGTGTGTGTGTGTGTGTGTGTGTGGTGTGTGTGTGTGTGTGTGTGTGTGTGTGTGTGTGTGTGTGTGTGTGTGTGTGTGTGGTGTGTGTGTGTGTGTGTGTGTGTGTGTGTGTGTGTGTGTGTGTGTGTGTGTGTGGTGTGTGTGTGTGTGTGTGTGTGGTGTGTGTGTGGCCTAGCATTACTATACTTGTGGGGACCTAAATCTGTTTACACAGTCACGTGTGGGGACTCGCCGCCCTTATGGGGACAAATTGGAGGTCCCCATGAGGGGAATCATCAATTTTAGGGTGAAGACTTGGTTAGGTTTAGGATTAGGGTTAGGGTAAGGGTTAGGGTTAGGCATGTGTTGGTTATGGTTAAGATTAGGATAAGTCTGCATGTAAGTCAATGTAATGTCCCCTGAAGTGATGTTTACATGGTATGCGTGTGTGTGCGCGTGTGTGCGTGCGTGTGTACTGGAATTATCCCCTGTTGATTCTTGCCAAATGACTCACTGTTTCCCTTCACATTCCCAGTTTTAAGTCAGTGACCCACACTCATCCTGAGGTGCGAGTCTCTGGGACTTTTTGTGGGGGAGGCCCACTCTCTGAAGATTACAGAATAATTCCAAGAACAGCTGTTCTTCCATCAGAGTATTCTCGGCGGAAATTTTTTAAGTTAGATAAACCACACAAATATTTCTCAGATGGGGTTCTCATAGATGAACTCTTATTATCCAGTGATGCAAACACAGGTATGGTGGAAAAAAGAGAGAACTATTCGAAGCAGAAAAAAAACAGCGTAATATACCATCTGACAACGGCCTGTGCTATAATGCTTCAATTAACTGGCTATTCTTTATAATATACTCAGATCAATAGGAGACAGAGATGTTAAGTTATAAATCAAGGGTTTTTATTATTATTTACAGCAGCGGTAGGGAACCTTTTTCCTTTCAATTTTTACAACATCCTCCGAGGGCCGTACAAATGATTGAACTCAACCTCTGCTTAAAAAAACTAAAATCACAGCCCATTCATTTGGCCTTTCGTCCATGCTGTGCAAAGAAAAAGCAACTTCCAGATATCTCACCATGACTCCACCACCAAAACAGAAAGATATGGACACAAGATGTGTGCAAATGTATTTAGTATCCTATCCATGTGAACATGATTTAAGTGGGGGGGGGGGACCTATAACCCCCGGGAAGATTTTTTTAAAAATATTGAAGTTAAAAGCATCAATCTGGTGCACTCTGAGAGCAAAATGAAGAGATCTATGGATACATCTTTCAACACCCATATGAAACAGAACTGTAAGCAGATTTTTCTTTTGGGATATTTTACAAATCACTCCCCTTTTAAACTCTATTCTTGTTATTTTTTTACTTTTTTGTTACTGTCATATAGTATTTTATACCTGTTTTTCATTTAGTCTCTAATGTCTCATTAATAACTATAAGCCTAATGATCATAACCTTAACCTCACTGAGCTGAGGTTATTTGAGCCTCTCATCTCTTCCACCTGGTTGTAGAAACACTCTTTAAATTCGTTAGCATAGCTAGCTAACCAGATGCTAATAACAACAGATCGCCACTGTGCTTACAACCATAGACTGTATGCTTACAACTAAAGACACAGCCACGCAGAAACTGCGGCATGTGTACGGTACGGCTCCTTATGGGTACTGCAATATTTGAAGAGCTGGAGCGGCGTTCCGGTGCTCTCCGTCAGCACTCCTTTCAGACGAGACATAACCACGTGAAGACACGTTACGCTCGTGTTGTGTTCAAGGAACCTGTACTTGGCCACGAAAAACAGGCACTCGCTTGTTTAATTATTTTGCGGTCTAGATTTCTTCTTCTTTTCTGAAGTGAGCCCGGGGTTTGGAGTCCGTCAGGACAGTCTGACTGACGGACTCCAACCCCCCCCCCGCCAAAACGAAAACTCTTCGGTTCTCCACGAATTACACAGATCAACCAAATCAGCGTTAAAAACGCGGGAGGCGCCGAAAAGCGACTAATTTGCATCACTGATTATCAGGGATTTTTCATATCATAGGTGAAATATGACTACAATCTTTTTACCACTGACCAAAACAAGACGGCTCATTTATAGCATTGTTGACAAGAAAATAAGAGAATAAATAGTGTATAAAATGTTTATATTTTGTGATTTGAAGCAGTAAAGACAGTTTATTTTTATTTTTTTATTCAGCAGTTCGGGACTACAGCACAGTGAGCAGAGTCAGGAGAACTAGGGGTAATTTACATAAATTAATAATAATAAAAATGACAGCAAAAGGGCTATTGTGATATTTTGGCTAGAATAGATTGACTGAAGTGTTTTAAACTAAGTAAAACTAAACTCAAATACTAAAGATAAAACTAAAATGTCCAGACATGTTAAAGTTTGCCAAATATGATAACATGTAGCCTAATAAGGATTTTTCCCACAGGAATTGGACTAGCTACAAAAAACAGCTGAGAAAAATATCCCTACTATCAGGTGGTGTTTGGAACATTTCTGAGTCTTTGGGGTGACAATTGAAAGGAGCCCTCCTGAGGGGTATTCAAACAGGATTATCCACTTGCTTGATATATGTGACGGTGGATTAGCTGTTATGTCGCCTGACTTCTTAATGATTCTCAAATTAAACCCAGATGTATTTCTGCGTTTGGCAGAGATAGATGCCTTCCAAAGAGCCTTTTGGCTCAGTAAGTCACCCCTCGTTCCTCAAACAGCTCTCAGGAGACCGTTACTCCTAATTCATCCACATATAAATCACACTGAGGAGAATAAAAGCAGAGCCTCCCTCCACTCAGTCTTTTCTCTTTGTTACTTGTTTGATGTTTGACCACTCTGCAGCACGCTGTATGTGACACCTATGTTTATTACGATCACCTTAAATCTGAGCATACCTACAAGCAGGATTTTGTGACACCACGCCAAACATGTTTCAATCAGAAGTGTGTGATGGGGAAACACTAACAAGGTACTTGTAAAATGTACTACAGTAATGTAAGAGACGTATTGTTCCCATCAGTTTCTGGATGAGTTGGTGACGGAGAAAGACGAAGTAATTTCACAATTGTTTAAATTCTTTTCATGGGAAAAACATTAAACACAAAGTCATCCTCTAACCAGAGAGAAAAGTCTTAAAAAAGTGTGGAGGGTGCAGCAAAATATACTTTTTACACTTTAATGATGACCTTTAAACTATCTTTAAGGACAGAAATATTGACATCTCAGCATTTTGGGCTACTTTGAAGTTAAATTGTATTTTTTTTTAAAAGTCATCTCAACCTTGCTTCAATGAATTAAAGCCCACAATAAAAATCCTCACATGAGCTTTTAATATGCTGAACTATTTTAGATGCAATTAAAGCTTTAAACATCAACAACTATAGATACTATCTGATGTTGAACTTCCTCATTCATCAAATATTTAACAACATTTCATTAAATATGGATGGCAATACAAAGATGGAGTGTAGGGCTGTCAGTGTGGAGTGTTCGATAGTTTTGGAAGTCAAACTCAGCTCAGTTCTTACCTTTGCTAACAGCTGAGTGTGTCACTGTGCCATTAGGCACGGAGGGGGGATTAGGCTGGAACCTGAGGGGAGGACAAAGCCATCTTCCACTTTGAAAGCTACTTCCACTGAAATGCCATGCCGGAGAAAATTCAGCTGACAGGAGCTCGTGTGCAGGTTTGGAGTAAGGAGTAGAGTCCAATTCGGTTTGGGAGCTTTCAAAGAGTCTAAGCTGTTGACGCGGAAACGCTGTTTCCGGAGAAAACGTGTGCTCAACGAGTAGCCTACGCTCCTTATTACGACTCGAGGAAAAAAAACATTCCCCCGATTTTAAAGTCGCAAAAGCTCATTTTTGAATTCCCATAGAGAAAAAATATCCAATGTTTAATTTAGGCAAAATGAATCCCAAAGCTGCTGATGTGAAGTCCCTTTCTGGCTTTTACGCGTAAAACTCGTGCTTTCCCGATATTTGCGTCCAAAAACGAGTATAAAGAGAGGGAAAGAGATCTACTATGTTCAGAAAATCTCAGCTGCAAGTTGTTGCGTTTGAAGAAAATCGTTTAGTAGAGGAAACTGGAATGTTTTTATTCCTCTGAGCCGGAGAGAGAGAGACGCGGAAGCTTCATCCAATTCCTTTAAAGCGCGCTGCTCGTGGGAATGTGAGAGGCTTTCACTGAGACGCGTGTAAAAGAGAGAGAGAGGGGGGAGAAAGAGAGCGAGCGAGGGAGAGAGAAAGACGAGGTTGTCTGGTTTTTGCGTGCTGTGAATGCGTGTGTGTATTTTATGTATGGAAACAAGGCACTGTGCCACGCGATTCTTGCATGTGCAGGGCGCAGACGATAAGGGGAGGACTGGTTTAAAGAAACACAGAAGAGGTGGTGCTCAGCAGGGAGGGAAAAGGACCAGCTTGTGATGTTAAATGCATTTACTGTATGTGGGAGCAGTATTACAGTATCAGTATGCAAAGCTCAGGAAAACACAGAGAGGAATTTGCTGCAGCTATAATTTAAAGGGGACATATCATGCTATATTTGAACAATATATTGTAGGGCCATACCTATATAAAGTATACAAATATAGTTTTTTTTTCAAAATACCAAACAGATCCTGCATTTTAGCCATGCCTAATTTCGCTATATATGCTCTTTCCAGCCCTGTTTTTGCAGGGGGCTGATTCTGTGAGCTGCAGCTGACCACGCCCCCCTGTAGGAGAGGGGAGCATGCTTTGAGATCAGCTGCTGGGCTGCAGATGGGAGAAGAGGGGGAGAAAAAGAGATATCTCCACCGTGTTTTATTCTTATAGAAGTAAGAAGAGAAGTAATGGGGCAGAAATCCTCCTTTTTATGCAGCGGTCCAGACATAGACATCAAACGGCGACACATATTCAGTTGGCAGTTACTTTGGCATTAGGGCAGGGATATCTAGATACTTTCCAAGGTTTGACATAATGAATTGTGCTACTTCTAAAGCAAGCAGCGATGTTTTCAAATCTGTAATCAAAAAGCTCCTCAAAAACGCTATCGAAGCAGTTCCTGCCGTTGCGTTAGTTCAAACAGTAACAACGGACTACTTTTCTTAGCGGATGCATGTCAATTTAAATCAATACATACAACTATTTTTTAAATAAATAAAATCATTTTCTAAATCCATAAAAGCATTTCAATTAATATTGGGAGTCATGTTGTTACTTTGTTGAGAATGTGGCCATGTAATAAGCGGGATAATGTGCAGCGACGCGGTCATTATGGGGAAAAGAACACCGACAGGCTGATCAGGAGCCCGAAGCGAAGCGGAGGGATCTAGATCGGCATGATTTTCCGGCATTTTTTCCGGCATGATTTTTCGGCATGATTTTTCTTACATATGATTATACAGAGTCATTATTCATTTGTTTTAAAGCAGGAGGCGCAAACGCTTGCCTCGGGGAGGGAGAAAAAGAGCCACAGCGGAGAATAAACAGAAGGGCAACCATGGCAACCATGCAAGGGAAGTCTTCTTCGCTGCTTTTGTGGCAGACTACAGCGCCACTTACAGGCCTGGCATATGTACTACAGCGTCTCCAGCGCTTTCGAGCGGCAATGGCCGGCCGTGGCCCAACCTCTCATTCCCCTGATAGGTGGAGAATTGACCACTAAATGGAGCACCCCTTTTGTGACATAGAAAATAATTCAAATCTGGATCAGTCTGTATCAGATCCGTTACAGCCCCTTTTTTAGAGATTTGGATATAGAGGAAAAGAGAGAGGGTTGTATTTTCTGACACTTGGTGAGTTCCCTGACACACCAGGGACACATATTCATGTATAAAAGACGTACAAGAGTGCATTTTGCATGATAGGTCCCCTTTAAAGAAAGTGTGTTTTGAGTGTCTGACAACTGAGAGTGTGTTCATGCGAGATATATATGAAATGCCCAGAGGTTAGACATTATCAACACACACAGAGCGGGAGGGTTTTGTTCAACATTTTTAAGCTGTTCTGTCTCCCCTCTGAAACACAAGAGAGAGTGGGGGGCGTGCAAAAATGTTGCAGATGTTGGCATGCGTGTCATTTCCTGTATTTAAATGCTGGAGCTGATTCAATGAAAATATACTAGCTGGGGAGAGGTGAGGGGAATATAAGACAGACATTTGGGCACATTGTAAAGTGTGGTTGAGAGAGAGAGAGAGAGAAAAAGAAATACACACACACACACAGAAATACCATTATTTGTTCAGATGGCAGAGATTAAGTTAGCCAGAAATACATTTTAGAAAGCAGAGGGCAGAGTGGTACAGCTGCACACATTTGTTCACAATCATCATGGTGTTGGTCCTCGGGTGTCATTCCCGACATTAAACCGCAAGACGTCTGACCCGAACTCTAACCTTTACTCTAATTATAACAACCTCTCTGCACACACATGAGCACACACACACACACACACACACACACACACACACACACACACACACACACACACACACACACACACACACACACACACTAAAAATACACCTATTGGGCTCCTCAAGCATTTGCTTCTTTTGGATATAAACATGCTCCAAAACTCAAACTAAATTGATTCAGGGTTGAAGTCCCCGGTGCAGAAGTCAGTCAGGAGTTACTGTATTTACATTCCATCATAGATCGAAATGAAAACACTGTTTCTGTCGATGGGCAGCGATAAACAACACAAGGGGCGCAGTAATGTGGAGAGAGTGTGGTAGAATAAGGAGAGGAAAAACAAGGCCCTACTTTGTTGACTACAGTATGCCATTTGTTGTTTACAGGCCTTTTTGGGATTATGGGATTTACAGAGTTTACTTTTTGAGTTGGCCCATACTTATTGTAGCTCGATAATTAAAGGAACATTTGATTCTTTGGAAAGTTAAGGAGGACAGGAAATGGGGGGATGGGGATTAGACCAGGCAAAAGGAGGATGTAGGAATCTGCTTTTTGAACATTTATATAATTTTAATGAGAGTATTTCAATGGATGATGACAGTGAGTGAGGCTTGTGAAAGCCAACAGAAACATGTAATGGCTATTTCAGGCTCAGTGATTGGTAAATTACTTGTAAGAAGGTGGGACAAATAGAGAATTGGATTGGCTCCGCAAAATGCTCTATTTTTCATCATCCCTCATTCATCATTTGTTCTTAAAATTGTCAGACAAAAGCTGTGTTTATTTGTACATGTCCATCACGTAACCACAAAACCCAAAGGGAGGTCTTTAACATAAATTACTTGTTATGCCACCCCCATGTTTTTAGGTACATCCGTCCCATTCTTGTGAAAGAGATATCTTATGATTGCTTTAAAGGATTGAATTTCGTTCACTTGGACTCAAGTATTTTGGGAGTGAAAGGTCAAGGTCAATGTGACCTCACAAAACGATGCAGTTTTTTGCCATCTCAATAATTGATTTGCTTATAAGGACACTTAGATACAATCTCTAATTGGATAAATAACTGAGTTTTGACTACATGGCATACAGCAGCGAGGCAAACATTTTTGTCTTTTTTAAAATTATTTATTTCCTTTCTTTCTTTCTGTCTTTTTCTTTCTCCAAGTTGTCAAGCAAACCAGCCTCCCTTTCCTCCTAGTGAACGCTGTGTATTATGATGCGTCAAACTGTGTGTTTGTGTGACGTCAATATTTGTTCCCTGCACACACACACAGGCTGACTGATGGATTGGAGCCTCTCCATTCTTAGACGCACATGTCGACATGTAGATCAATGAGCCTCAGTGTTCCCATGAGCATAATGTGTGTCCAATTGATTTTCAAAATAATTCAAAAACAGATCAGGAGAAGAGCATGCAAACATCGTGTTTCCCTGCTGCTGTGGATACGACACATACTGTTTAAACTCACTCATGGGGTGTAAACACTCCCTCTAGCCCAGGAGCATGCTGTTAAAATGTCTCTGGTAGTGCCATTTTCCATAACTCCTCATGCTTGATATATATCTAAATGTTTCATTCGCTGTATAAAAACACGCTACCAGAGTAACAGTTTGTTTTATCGTCACTGTGCTCCTTTAAAAAAAGGCCTGTTTGAGGTTTAGTATGGGTTTAATAATTCACAAGTGCCTTGAAATCCTTCTATATTGCCTTTAAACTTCCCACTGTTCTGTATCTAACCACTTCCCTCTGTATTGGGCTGGGGAAAGGCTTTTAGGATCACATTTTTGGATCACTGATCTGAACTTCACATTTAAAGGCAAACATCCTCTGAAATGTTAGTAATTTGGGGGGAAACTGTTCTTTATCCTTATTTAAATAAAATAAATTGGGGGTTTCCCTTTCCTGTAGTTTGTTATATAGGTTTTTGTGGATCATCTCTAAGCGGTTGACCAATCACAACAGAGCCGGCCAGCTAACCAATCAGAGCAGACCGGGCTCTGGTTTCAGACAGAGGGTGAAAAGAGGTAGACAAATAAAGAGCTTTTTGAACATTAAATCATGTAAACAGTCACAGTAGAGGCAAAAAATACAAATATGAACCTGAAAATGAACACGTGTCCCCTTTTATGAGAACACATTTTAAACAATTCCTTTAATCCCAGCTGATGAAGCTGATTTGTGATTGTATGTCTTCATCACAGCACTTCCACAGAGCAAGGAACAACACTGTAGAGCTAAACAAGTGCAACACATTGCAGGATAATTAAAGACTTTTAATCCAAAAAAACAAATGAATCATACATGCAATTATCAGTCCTATTTTTGAGTCAGAACAAACATCTATTAATATAAAAAAACAAAGCCTTACAGTAATAAAGTGCACCACACACACACACACACACACACACACACACACACACACACACACACACACACACACACACACACACACACACACACACACACACACACACACTCACACACACTGGGATGAATAGGTATGACGCCTACCTTGCTTTACATGCGCCCCCCTCCCAACCCCCCCTGCTCTCTATCACTATGGTTACAATGATGCAGGTTACCGTGGCAGCCAAGTCAACCCCATTCTTACACAAAGGCCCATGTGCATGTGCTTTACCACAAACACACAGACTTACGCAGGTGGTGACGCTGAAGAGTTGAATGAAGAGTTTTCTTCTTGGGTTATTTCTGAGGATGTTGAACTGTCGTCATTTCTGCATTACTCTCTCCATCGCCACAGCCAGTGGTCCTTTCTCCCTTTTGTCTCTGTTATCTGTATTATAATGATGATCTATAGTGTGTTCAAATGAAAACGTTTTTTAAAATGTAGGTTTTACCACAGTATACAGTATTTATTCTACTGTTGCTGTTTGTCTTGTAATATTAAATATTTGTACATCTTCCTTTTCCTGCAACTTATTTGCACCATTGGGTTTTTGTTGCACTATTTTATTGCACTTTTTTTGTCTTTCTCTTTTTAAGTTACGTATACAGTATTGTGTGTTGCATTGTTGCAAGATCTTAAGATTTAATTACCAACAACTACGCTGTAGCTTTGTATGCATATGATAAATACATCTTTTGAATCCATTTTAATAACAAGGAAGTATCTTGTTTGTATCTGCTAGTGCTGTGCTTTAATCATTGCTTGTTCTGGTGTTGCCTCTTCATTGGTGGATACAGTTCTCCCTGTGCATTTGAGGCTATGCTGCCATCTAGTGTTGATACTAAAAACTACCAGACTACACTCATTTCGTCTCTTGATGTTTTTTTGCAGATCTTTCCAAAGCTGGACATCCAGGACGAATCACAGGTAAACATTAGTGAAGAAAAAGTATTTGAAATAAAAAGATAACGGTCATGTTGTAGGCGTATGTTGTCAGCGTTGCTATCTCGAGCTCAGTCAGTTGATTTCAATGGGAAAAATGTACTCGTGCTGTGGTTGAAACTAACAATTATCAACATTATCAATACTTGTTTTGATTGGAAGGTGATGGAAAATAGAAATTTCCCAAAGTCAAAGAGACATATTGAAATGGTTTATTTTTGTATCAGAACAAACCAAAAGATACGTACTTATCAAACAAGACAAAGAAAAGCAGCAGGTCCTGTTTTAAAAAGCTTGAATTAAGCTTGATTTAAATAATCCTTAATTTATTAAATGAGTTGCTGATTAATCTGTCCATCAATTAACAAACCCATGTATTGTTCTTCTTCTTCTTCATACTTTTTTTGTTTTGTAAGGAGTAGCAATACCAATGAAGGAATGATACTTGATGAACTTAAGAGGAAAACTGAAGAAGAACAAAAGAGGATTGTAGAAAAACAGGAAGTAAGGAAAGTGAAATAAGGAACCAGCAGAACATAATGGAGGGATGAGGGAGCTACCTAAAGGTATGTACAAAAACAGGTAAATAAATTGACTAATACCATAATCCAATTATGTCTATAGCACTTCCTTTATGTATTTAACTTCAAATTCAACTTCCTTCTTTGGGCTTTTATGTATGTGTGCCACTTGGATATACTGGATATATACTGGAGTATGTTCACCTTTATCCCTTTTTAGGATTTACTCTTAGTACTCTTCTTAGTAGTAATCCCATTTCTTCTAATCCTCCCTCCTCCATAACATGCTTCCTCACACACACAAACACACTTCATGCTCTCATGTAGAGCAGCAGCCATTCATGTTGTTGGACTACTGCTGTCGTTGTTTTGGATTCACACTCATCAAACGCCATGGACCCCTCTCCCTCAAGACCACACCCAGTGATACCTGGGTAAGGACATTGTAGGATGTGGGAGAGTGTGTTAGGATAGCGAGGATTAAGGAGTGTGTGTTAGCTGGCTCGGTGCACAGTGAGGTGTTTACAACATGCCTTTTAAGTGAAAATTGGTGCTAATAATCAACTGCTTTTTTCATAATTTACAGTTATATCCCAGCTTTTTTCACTGTTATTTTATCATTAGAGTTATAATTTAAAAAATCTGATTATTATATGTTTTAATGTCATTAGACTGCTGTTTACCTGTTTTAAGCATGCTAATCTATTGTGTAATCAACCAAAAGTCAGTTTGGGGGAAATCTAAAAGCTGGTTTCTATTGCATTTTAATTTTAGTCTGGAGATCAGTCTAGTCTGGAGTTGAAAAACAAACCGGGGCTAGCCGAGGTGTTTAGCTGACTCTGAGGGAATTAGCATGAGCTCAGCTACTTTTCTGACCTGTCTGACCACGTGGTTTAGGTGGGTCAGAAAATGAAATGTGGGCCACGATTAAATGACTCTTACAGTGTCACAACACTCACTGGAATTATCCTAATACATTTGCATGCTCTTTTATCCCACTCCACTTCTCACTGCTGCTAATTTTTAATATGGAGGGTAACATGGAGTAAATTAGGGGGAAGCAAAGAGGAGGATGAACCTTACACAGTTAAAAGTGGAGTCTGCAATTAGAGAGACATTGTGGATATGCGAACTCAACACCTCACAAATAATCCCTCCAGATTTAACCTCCCACTCCATTTCTTTTTATACGTTCATGCTGGAATAGTGTATAGGTGTTGGATTAGATTGACCTCACCTTTAACGCACTGTGGCCCCATAAATTAGATGTCCACTAATAGATATAAGAATGATCCCCTGTGCTTGTTGAGCTTGTTACTGTCTCACGCTCCGGACCAAGCACACTGCGGACTGAAACATAGCAATGGCAGCTTTTTGTTGCAGACATGAAGCTCTACAGGAAGGCAGGATTCACCTTCTGGAACATAAATATCATAAATGTCATATGTATACATCCACAAAGGCACGAGGATATGCAGCTGTTTTCTGTTTTATAGGGCTATACTGTCAATGGAATATCTTTGTGCTTTGAACATTTTGTAGGATATTACAGTCATTATAAGAATTGGATTTTTTGGTTTATTGCCAAGAAGGTTTGTGTTTTGGTGCATAAACAAACACTGTAACAGTTATACATTGGAAGAAAAGCCAATGTTTAAACGTATTAAAGTATATGTAAAAAACATTTAATATACAATATATATATATATTATAAACGATATATATGAAATAAATGAATTGTACAACAAACATTTATATACCAAAAAATATGAAACATTTAAAAAAGGACAATATCGGGAGTATAATTGGAGTTTTACAAGTGGTTGCATTGTGTGGAAATTAGAACACTTTAGAGAGGGGAAAGAAAAAGGTCCTTGGTCTTTCCCTTTTTCTTAGTCATTTTATAGACTGAAGGATTAATAATTCAATAAAAAGTAGCTGACAGTTTATCAGTAGGATAATCACACAACTTTACTCCAATGTAAGGCAAGGCAAGGCAAGTTTATTTATATAGCACTTTTCAACACAAGGCAATTCAAAGTGCTTTACAAAAAATGAAAGAGATTAAGAAAATGGCATTTAAAATCAGTCATTAAAAAGAAAAGCTAATAAAATAAACATTAAAAGAAAAAATACATGGATAAAAGTTACAGTGCAGTCAATTAAACATTAAAAGAAAAAAGTACATGGATAAAAGTTACAGTGCAGTCTAAGATATGAATAGTTCAATTAAAAGCAGCGACAAAAAGAAAAGTCTTCAGCCTGGATTTAAAAGTAGTCAGAGTTGTAGCGGACCTGCAGGTTTCTGGGAGTTTGTTCCAGATATTTGGAGCATAATAACTGAACGCTGCTTTACCATGTTTAGTTCTGACTCTGGGGACAGAAAGCTGACCAGTCCCTGAAGACCTGAGAGATCTGGATGGTTCATAATTTAGCAGGAGGTCAGAAATGTATTTTGGGCCTAAACCATTCAAAGCTTTATAAACCAGCAGCAGTATTTTGAAATCTATTCTTTGACACACAGCAAGCCAGTGTAAAGACTTCAGAACAGGAGTGATGTGATCCACTTTCTTAGTGTTAGTGAGGACTCGAGCAGCAGCGTTCTGAATCAGCTGCAGCTTCCTAATAGATTTTTTAGTGAGACCTGTGAAGACACCATTGCAGTAGTCGAGTCTACTGAAGATAAAAGCATGGACAAGTTTTTCCAAATCCTGCTGTGACATTAGTCTTTTAATCCTAGATATATTCTTTAGGTGATAGTAGGCTGATTTAGTAACAGTTTTAATGTGACTGTTGAAACTCAGGTCAGAGTCCATGACTACACCTAGATTTCTGGCTTTATCTGTTGTTTTGAACATTGCAGACTGAAGCTCAGCGCTAACTTTTATACGTTCTGACTTGGCTCCAAAAACCATTACCTCAGTTTTATCTTTGTTTAATTGGAGAAAGTTCTGACACATCCAGTCATTGATTTGTTCAATGCACTTACTCAGTGTTTGAATTGGAGCATAGTCTCCTGGTGAAATTGTTACGTAAATTTGTGTGTCATCTGCATAGCTATGGTAACTTATTTTGTTGTTTTTCATTATCTGAGCCAGTGGTAGCATGTAGATGTTAAAGAGAAGAGGCCCCAAGATGGAGCCTTGAGGAACCCCACATGTCATATTTGTCAACTCAGATGTGTATTTACCTATAGAAACAAAGTTGTTTCTGTCCTTTAAGTAGGATTCAAACCAATTCAGAACTGTTTCCGAAAGTCCCACCCAGTTTTCCAGTCGGTCTAGTAATATGCTGTGGTCAACAGTGTCAAACGCAGCACTGAGATCTAATAATACTAACACTGAAGTTCTGCCACTGTCTGTGTTTAAGTGGATGTCATTAAAGACCTTTACAAGAGCAGTCTCAGTGCTGTGGTTTGGACGAAAGCCTGACTGGAACACATCGAAACAGTTATTTAAATGCAAGAAATTACTCAACTGTTGAAAAACAACTTTTTCAATGATTTTACCTAGAAATGGCAGGTTTGATATGGGCCTGTAATTGTTCATTACTGAAGCATCTAGATTATTCTTTTTTAAGAGCGGTTTAATGACTGCAGTTTTCAGGGCCTGTGGAAAAATACCTGAGTGAAGAGATTTGTAGTGAAAGTTATTAATCTTATCAGCGCTCAGGTGTAACTAATCAGATTAACGATGACTCCACTTCATTAACCAGGTGCCAGAGATTATTGTTAATAATCTGATCACTTACACCTGTGTTTGACAGCAGGAATGTCAGCGGGGAGGAAAAGGTCTTTTATCTCTCCTCTCAGGAGTTCCTGTAGCATATCTCCTGTAGAGGCTGCAGTTAATCATAAATGAATAAAACTAGGCTTTAGCAGGCAGGCTGCTGCTGTCTGACTGTACTCTCATCAGCGATGAAGGGAAAGAGGAAAATGGATTTGTATAGCTTTGGGAGACACAGAATGCACAAAATAACCATGTTAAAGTAAACATCTCCAAATATAGAGCTTTCTTGTCAAATTCAAATCCCTGACATAATGTCAAGGTATTTTCTCATAGTCTTGTTTTCTCTGTTGTTACCTTGTTTATTTGAAGAAAGGTTGATATAGGACATTGCATTTCTCCCACCCATTGATTAAAGGCTCTCGCTTTTTTAGCTGTCAAATGCGGGAAATATTATATAAATATGTAAAGATGGTCGCAGAAAAAACCAGTAAATAGTATTTTTCAATATCAATAATTGAAGGATACTTAAAGAGACTGTCCGTTCCTCACCCTCCCTCCGAAAGAAAATCTTTAAACTACAGGGATCCTGCTACTTTAAAAAAACAAAGCCGGTTTCATGTGATATTGAAAGCCCCAGCCCAACAGGACAAATCTGAATTATTTATTCCCATTTCCTCTTTCTCCGTCTCCTCAGGTCGTCCTGCAGAATCTGTTGATGTGCATGGTGTGCTTCTACTCTCTCTACTACGTCGTGGTCAGTCTCTGCATAGGACTGCTCAGGTACACAAACTGCAACTCATAGTGAAGCCTTGGCCTTTTGCTCCTAAGAGAAAGTACATTTCAAACAGAATGAATAAGAACCAAAGTGGATTTTGCATGTTTATCATCTCCTGCTGTGTCTCCAGGGCTCATGAGATCAACAGCTTGTTGGCTCCCTTTGACTATACAACACAACCGTCATGGCAGAGCCCCAAATACCTCGGTGAGTAGCTTTGGTGCAATGTAGGTTCACTCCAGTACTTCTATTTTAAAGGTGCTACTTTATTTAGTATTTAAATGTTATACTACTTTTTACTTCTACATATAAGGCTGAGGTTCCCTGCAGGATTATACTGTATCTACAGATATTGAAAAGCGGCCTAAAAGCTTGTAAGGGATATTAATGGTTTAAATATGGATAATGTGATTAGCTAGGAAATATGAAGCATACACTTTCTCCCTTAGTGAGCCAAAATTAAAACTTAAAGGTGGGCCATGGGCCAAAATGAATATGACTTGAAATGCCTTTTGGCTGTGGGTCACTGTCTCTGCATCCCATTTTTCTTCTTACCTAACTTGCGCCAGACAAAGTGTCACTATTCATCGGTCCTGGTATATTTCATGCTGGCTCACTGGGGAACTTTAAAAAGAAAAAAGCCATTATTAATGTATAATGTTGATTGGTAAAACCTGTGCTATAACAATGGGTGATTCTAAAGCAGATTAGAAATTCAAAACGGCATGTGTTGTTTCCTCTCTTCCTCCCTGCAGTCGGTGTTATCTCCACAGAAGTGACCTATATTTTGGGAGGCCTGGTATTCGCATGGATTGTAGAGGAGTGGGTTTGGGATTATGCCATAACTGTCACACTGCTGCATGTCGCGATGACGGTAGCAGGTAATAAAACACACACACACACACACACACACACACACACACACACACACACACACACACACACACACACACACACACACACACACACACACACACACACACACACACACACACAAGCAAGCAAAAACAGCTGATAGGATTGGGGGCCTGGTTATGTAACTGGAAATGGTGTCAGTGCTTCAGAAATGTATTGGCACTCACACAGGCACTATCCATTTGTGTCTAAGAGTTACAGTAACAGCATATATTTCTGAGAGCTATTTAGCCAATATTGAAAGATATCTAGCAGAATATTGACTTTTTAAAATGCTGAACTTAATAGAGCAAAATAGCTGAACTTGTATAATTTTTTCACCTGTAGCTATAAGGATAATGTGTAGTATGTTTTTTTACATTTAACACGTAGTTTCTATGTTCCCGCAGTGATGTCAGACTTCCCTTCAGCTGAGCACTGGTGGATAGCTCTGGGTAAGGTTACCACTTTCTTCTTCTTCTTTTTAAGGACAGCTGCTGGCCGCCATAGATACCTCTGATTGATCTGTTTTTCTAATTCATGTAATCCCTCTTCGTGCAGGTTCAGGCCTGGTGATGATGATATTTGCAGGACAGCTCACAGCCTATAAACTCTTCAGGAGCAACTTGGTCTACCCAGCTGAACTGCAGAACTTCTAATGAACACAATGAGGAAAGCTTTTAAATGGCTTACTGCTTAATCTCAGCTCCTGATACATCCCAGTGGGTAAACTGATCAAAGATGTGTGCTATGTTTATGCTAACATTAGCAAGAGCAACTACGGTATATCTATCGAGAATATAAAGCAACCACAAATAACATTTCTCTTTCTCTTCAAATAACTTTGTTTATAGCTAATAGTCACATCCCTCCTTGTACAAATGGCCCAACTTTGTCTGTTTTCTAAAGCATATTCTGTACAGTTTAAATATTGTTTTGTATTGTTTCTTTACATACCTCCTACTATAATATTATCTCAAGGCCATATAAGAAATGACACCTGTAGCATTCTGTAAAAAATATGACCAAGGTACAAAAAAATCCGGTCGTGTATTTTCAAATTCTAGCGATCTCGAGCCGGTTTCTCAAACTTACATACCCTACCTTTAATTTAACAGTTTTCATTTTTGTGTTATATTCATGTGTCATATGCCAGATGTTTGGAGTGTAGGTTTATAGTGTTTTATGCTGATAATGAAAAGTATTACCTGTATTGAAATGATGATTGTATACTACATAAAATTGGATTTACATTAAATACTTTAAGCAACATGATTTGTGTGTGTTTGTGTCTGTATACATAAAGAAAACTAGAAGAGCCCTGGCCAAGGTGGTCCTTGCCTTGGTAAAAAGTCTCCATAGCTCGGCACGACATATTTTGAAAATGCTCAAATATACAACTGGAAAATATTTGGAGAATATGTAGCAGATTATTGTGCTGCACATTGATTCATAACAAATGTTGTACAAACCCCTCTTAACCATAATCCATAATATGTCTTATCTGGATATTATGAATGTGAATTGTGAAGAAAATACCTTAAACTGTAATGGTCAAGGAAAATAATTTGCCAACCGAAAGTAAAATAAATATTTTTTGAAGCATCATACTTTTTTTTTAAATGGCATGTTCGTATCTTGCATTACTTGCTGGTGGAATACAGGGAAGCAGTGACAGTTGTTGGCCCTCTGTGCTACAGGGAGGCGTGTGGTGCAGTGGGTGTGTGTTGGTGTTCGGATCAGGGGGTCACAGGTTCAAACCCCACTGCAGTCAGCATGTTGTTGTGTCCCTGGGCAAGACACTTCACCCCAAATTGCTCCTGTGGGGATTGCCCTGCACAGTATTGAGTATGTAAGTCGCTTTGGATAAAAGCGTCTAACATGTAATGTAAAATATCATATTTGAAAACATTAATAAAAAAAAGGAATAGAGGGAAGCAGTGACAGTTGTTGGCCCTCTGTGCTGCCCACTAATTGTTGAGTCTCGTTTGTTATCAAAGTCAAACCCCGCCTTCTACCGGTGCCCCAAACCTGAGCGCCAAAACAATTTACACACTACATTTACCTTCAAAGCCACCTTTTATCTACTAAATAAAGCTAGCTCTGTTAGCGTAACCCACCAACCGACTGAATGTCAGGACGAAACGGGTTAGTGTCCAGTATCCGGAGGTTAATAAGCGCTGAAGAGCGGCTACGGAGGACACACTCCACGGTAAGTTATCACGTTGAGGAGGTTTAGCACGGCTAGCGTTGGTTAGCATGGCTAGCGTTAGCCAACTAGCTGTCCAAGTGAGTGAGAGCCACAATTCACGTTACTGCCGCCCGGTATTTTAAGTATTGGTCTTTATCTTGAGTTTAATAAGCGTCATTCTTTCCTAAAGTTAATACAAAAATATTATAGTTTTTGTTGAAACAGTTCACGATTACTTTAAAAGAGGCTAACGTGTGATTGGGGGACACTCACAGGTGTATAGGGTAATACAATAATTCACACACAAACATTATCATGAAACAATGCATTATCTGTTGCTAACTTTTACAATTGAGGAAACATTTACAGAAGCAAATAGTCATCGTGTAGAATATAGATATGGCCTACTGTAAATGTGTATTTTGGATGTTTCCTTTCTACTAGTCTGAAAGGATACATGTCATGGATGCAAAATAGGCCTAATTTTAAATGGACACGTGCATGCAATTATACATGTTGTGTACCAGTTGAATACTGCAAAGTAAAATACTACATGTATACTTTATATTATATTATATATTTGTTCAACTAGTGCAGATATTCAGATTCTGAATTGTAGCACAGTTGCATACATGCTTAAAAAAAGATATAGACTTTAGCTCATGTTATTCTTAACAGTGATTTCACACACAGATGAAATTGTTACAGTGTTGAGATATTTCAGGGCTTTGCTTGCCATTTGTAGAGTCCGTTTGAGCAGCTTCGCCAGCAGATGAGTGATGTATTGGGAGATCAAGGCATCCTGAAAGAGGTGATCCAACCTGGAGATGGCCCTCCTGTTCCTGAAAATGCTTCAGTAATAGGTACAAATACAAATTTGTTATAACATTTCTGGCACAGTTTGCTGAATTATTTCACCCTGCCGCAAACTCTACTTCTTCAACAGCCCATTACTCTGGTTTCCTGGAATATTCTGACCAGCCTTTTGAAACCACCACAAACCTCAAGTACCCCCGGATGATGAAGTTAGGGAAAGGTCAGTGATTTTTGTGCAGGTTCAATAGAGTTCTCCTTAATAAAAAAAAGAATAATCATTTCTGAAATGATCTTAAACAGATGTGACGCTGGCGGGACTGGAGCTGGGTCTGATGACCATGAGGAAAGGAGAGTTTTCTCGATTTCTCCTCCAGCCTAAGTACGCCTACGGGGACATGGGCTGTCCTCCGCTCGTCCCTGCTGCTGCAGTGATTCTGTACGAGGTTCATATCCTCGACTTTCTCGACTCGGGACAAGTGGATGACTTCATCGCAATGAGCCCGGTAGGAAAACTTCTGGTGTCTTGTTGTTGCAAGGTCAAAAATCCCACAAGACATTTTCAAGCCACTGTGCTTATGTCATACAAGAGAATATTTCTTTATATTTTAGTTGACTAATGTATGTATCAGCACCCTGAAATGTATCCTTTTCAATATCAGCCACTGTTCTTTTCACAATGCAGAATAAGAGAAAAAAATGCTTTGTAGATGTTCTGTTTGTATTATTGGCTACTTTTCCTTTCTCTTTTGTCTCCAGGAGGAGCAGAACACGGTTCCTCTGTCTATGCTCCTCGAGGTTGTCAACACAGTACGCAGCTTTGGCAACCGTTGCTTCAACCAGAGTCGCCATTTCAACGCCAAAGACCGCTATAAACAGGTACGTCTATTTTCAAGGAAGTCATTGCCTTTGTTTTTTGTATATTTGTTAAAGTAAGATTGTATTTTGTAAGGTATTCTGTGTTTTCTGTCAACAGGGGACAACGCTGCTTGGGAACAGGAAAACACAGAGCGATGAAGAGAAGGGGAACATCAAGAAAGCACTTCTTCCTCTCTATCTGAACCTCTCCCTCACTGAGCTCCGTCTGGAAAGACCGAACAAAGCCCTGAAGTACAGCAACAAAGCCTTGGAGATAGACTCCTCCAACACAAAGGCTCTTTTCCGCAGCGGACAGGTCAGACGGCGCCTTTTTGTTCTCAAAACCATCAGATAGAAATCCTCACAAGCTGTAGGGGTCTTTAACGCTCCTGATATTGAATGTAAAAGAATCACAGAGGAGTTGAAAAATAGGGATGATGTCAGAAGCAGACACAATAGATTCCCAATCCCCTTGTATTAAGATTATGTTGAATAAAGAACATTTTGTACATTTTCTCTAAGATTTAACTATACATTTGCACATTTTAGGCACCTTGAGCCACAGTTCTCACCAGTTGGCAAGTTGTTTTCGCTCTAAATTCGATATTCAAACTTTTGTTATTGCCATCAGGCGTATCTGGAGCTGCACGAGTACGACAGCGCCCAGCACTGCCTCATATCCGCTCAGGCAAAGAAACCCTTTGACACTGACATCAACAACCTGCTGAGGAAAGTGGCAATGTAAGTTTAGAAGGACCCACAATTTGCATTTGTCTCAAGGTAAAATAAACGTATAAATCTTATACTTTCATTAAAGGTTTGGCTTTTAAAAAATGTCTTCACATGTGACTATTGTATAGCATATTTGATGTTTTAGTTTAAAATGGCCATGCTACCCTAGGCCTATAAATCACTCCATAAGATATGTATAAAAGGTTTTTTTGTTTTTTTTAGGTGCTATAAAGAAAGCTTGGACAAACAGAGAGAAATGTACTCCAAGATGTTCAGAAAGTTGAAGGGATGAAGAATCAAAGATGAGGAAAAGGTAATAACTCCTTTCTTCTCTGAGGTCATCAATATGTATTCAGTCTACTTAATCTCTTAATCAATTGACCCAATTGTATTTGTCTGCAATGCTCAACTACAGCCTCCATGATTCTTAGCAACCGTTGAAGTATCATTAGACCAATCATTTTTGACTGTCTTCTTTTAAGTGCTCAGATGAAACTTAGATCCACATTGTGTTTGTTTATTTTTGAAGGGATGGATTTGATATGTCAAATGTCTGTGTTGCAGATGTAAAGGACACACTTCAAGCAAATCCTCTCCAGTATTGTGAATTCTGAAAGTGATACCTTTTTGTGTTTGTCCAATGTTACAAAAGGAACTAATCTGGTTCAGATGCCTCCTTCATTTCCTCTCAAATAATAAGTGAAATTCTTTAGATTTCTTCAAAGATTTGTTGATATAATGTAGCTCAATGTTTTGTTTGAGTATATCCTTAATATAATTTACTTTCCCCTCGATTCATTATGAAGGCTGGAAGAACATTTTCGTGAACATCTTGAATCTTGAATGGCTGAATGTTTGCAAAAAGATGCTACCTCATTAGATTCTGTTAATAAATACTATTTGCTGAGGTGTTAAATATGTGCATGGAGTCTGATCTCTCTTAAGGTGGTAATGATGACAAAATCAAGTCCCTTTTTTCAAGATATCTTGCCTATTTGAGATTCGTTGGAAATAGTGTGTTCATGATCAATTGTACTGTTTCTATATAATGTTTTTGTGTTGTTCTGAATTAGTTTGAAATAAATGACCTCATTTGTAAAGAAAGTATGATTGTCAGTGTACATTTTTTTGTATATGTGGTGAAAAAGGAATGGATTCTATGTGAAACCACCATTTTTTTTTTAGCTGAAAATATTTGAGGGCATGAACACATTGAAATGTTTTCAGTTTTGTTAGATGACAAAAACAGAACAGACAGTAATATGATACAGTGCAAGATTCTTAGACATATTTTGCATATCTATTAAAGGTTACTAATTGTTGATTGCACCAATAAACACCAGGGGGCGCTCTTGGCCAATCTGCCTGCAGAACGGCCACCTGATCATCAATATCAATTTGAAACAGAAACGGGTTTATTGCCAGGTAGGTTCGTACGAGGAATTTGACTTGATGTCATGCTGCATACATAAAATATAAAACTTTTTTAAAAAGTACATTTTAGACAAGACACTAAAGGTACATTTTGTTTGTATTATTTACTAGTCAATTTTAAGATTTTGGGCAGTTTTACTCCCATGTTACATTTTATTTTACCCTAGGAAAAAAACGATCCAGATTCATATTTAGGTGTTTATTTTTACGACACATTGGGCCACATAAGGAAATATTCTCCTAAATATCCCTCATATTTTAACTTAATTTTCCGTTCTGCTGTAGATTTTAATCTGTTTTTACCGGTTTTTACCCAGGTGTGCTTAATGATGAATACTAAATCCTGAATTAGAGGGGCGTGGCCATGTTTATTATTAGCATAGGTAACGCCCCCTTGACACTATGGGCTAGTGGTGTGCCGTGTGCAAATACTCAGCACATACTCAGGAATTAAGGAGATGCTACCAAAACAAGGATGTAAGGAGAGCTAAAGCAGTGCACATGAGGTAGGTGCTCTGTTCCCAATGTTAAAAAGTAACTACATTTACTCAGGTACTGTACTTACAATTTCAATGTACTTATAACTTACTGGATTAATTCATTTCATGTTACTTGATGCTTCTACTTTATTACAGATCAGAAGTAAATGTCATTTTTACTCCACTACGTTAGTTACTTTGAAAATTCAGATTTATAATACATAATATTAAATACAAATATAATAATATGTATAATGGATGCAACGAAGTATTTGAGGTAATTGAAATTAGCTCCAACTTTACCAGCAGCAACATTAAATTGACATCAATGCTTACCTAATACCGACTTAAAGTATATGTTGATAATAATATAACTAATATTTTAGTACTTCTTCTTTTGCTTCTGTTAAAAATAAACAGTCAACATGTATTTCTAGAGTGTCAGTATACTTCCTTGAGGAAAACCAAATGCATCAGAGACCAGTGTGTGTTCATATATAATTTGAATAGTCATTACGTAATATTGTATTACTAAAAACATGACATTTTATATGGCTGTTGACTTTTTCTGATTTATAGAGTTATGCAAAGAGGCATCCAAAATTCCCTCTGTAAAAACCTTTTGATTCTTATGTATCAACAAAATGAACCAGATATATGGAACCTGGTTTCATCCACTTTTTGAAATGTGTTCAAATCAGCACATATTTTATAAGATTGTTCTTCAATCTTATAAAATAAGATGTAAGTACTCAACTGGTGAAATCTCATGGTGGTATTGATACAAATCCCCCAAAACTAATTTAGATGTTAGATATTTGACGTCCTATCAGCAATTTAAAGAAATATGTTTTTAACATCATTATCATTATTTGCAATGTCTTGATACACTGCAGCTAAAAGTATATTGCGTTTTAAGGAACAACAATCATTGGCTTTCTTAGTGATGTAATGCTGGCTGCAGTCACAGTGATTGGTGATTGCATTCACCTGAATGCATACCTTTCCTCTTCAAAAGGTATACAGAATCCCTGCATTTACATAATGGCTGAAAAACCTTTTTGATTATTGCAAGACAAATGATCAAGTAGGTTAAACTAATGGAAATATATGTATCTCTTGTTTATTTGGAAATGTAACCATTACAAAAATAAATGTGTTCATTGTTTAATTATGACGCTTGAAGATATTCCAAACCAGGGTTAGTCAGTAACCCCCCCCTGCCTTTGTGGTGGCATATTGTTGTCCTCATTAACTTCCCTCATCCAGCCTCACAACATGCTGCCATATTGTGTGAGGCAGCAATATGAGTCTCAGTGTCAGAGGGAAACTAGTGATTTGTAGTGGCTAGACAGACGGAGTAGCGGGGGATCAGACGGGCGGAGGGGCAGATGGAGGAGCAGAACAATCTCATTGACCTCTTTGGCTAATCCCAGTCTTGTCCCAGTGTGGGATTGTTTTACCATTATCTCCCAGCATATGGCCAATAGAGCTGTTGCGGGAACTCTACCTAAACACTTCATCTTTCCCTTTGTTAAATCGATCATTAGTCCCTTTTTCCTGTAATGACAAGTGGCTTTCCTATCATATTGACTGATTTAATTATAATATACATCCTGAAATCAAAGTACAACACATGGATAGTAAACTCATTTTTTCCCAACACTAGAAAAGCATAACTATTGATGAATACAAATGTGTTTTACTTTTACAGGTCATGCTCTCTAAAAGACTGTAGGACTAGTTGCAGACACAGGAGGACAGGATGGTCTCCAGACTGGCCTACTACCTTCATCTCAGGTGAGAAATTAGACAGTGGGTTCAAAATCATTTTAATTTCTGTGTGTATGGCTGCTCTCCCATTTAGATTAATGTTACTGTTTTGGTGTTTAGATTCTTACAAAGATTGGTATTTGTTCCATGCCATAATAATTGTCAATTTTCAGCAACACATTGTTAAACACTATGACATTTGTATGTTTATTCAGAGCTATGGTTTTCAAAAAAAGGGAGGTGCATAATAAAAGAACATACGTTATGGGCAAGTAAAACACGTTTGACATGAGTTTTTATTTACACTGCATTTACATGACAGCTGTAGTTACCAGTACTTTATCCTGTTGCAGGTGAACCTATTGCAAACTCATGAACTATGATGCAATAATGACAATATTTTAAACAACCACCTGGACCTTGTCATGTTTCACGTTGTAATTGTACTACTTTGAAACCAGAAGCCGACATTTAGAGTTCAGATTACACGTACACATTACTATGTTTTGCCTTATAAATGTTATTGTTTCTTTTAGCTGTATGCTACTTGACATACCCAAAAAGGGGGAAGGATGTGTATGGTAAAGCTTTTTAAGGGGTGTCTTAATCAGAATCTGCTTTATTTCTTTGGTGTTTCAGTGCGTCACATAAACATGATAAGAAAAACGATTGTAAACATCCAAGCAAGTATTTCAAAAATAAATAAACATATATATAATAGAATTACAATGAAGATATGAATATTATTATTATGAAGGAACTGTGCAGTTAGTGGTTTTTCAAGAGATGTGCGTATGGTTAAAGTACAAAGTAAGAATATGCATTGTAGGCTAAGTAGGTATAGTTCCAAAGATGTGTATTAATGAAACGCTGATGTGTTAACTAATAAATAGGTGCATTATGTATAAGTACGTTTTTTTTATGTAAATACCCACCACAATACTTATTTCTAATAGCCATAATTAAAGCATTGCACCAGGAAGTAGCTGGTACATGTTTTGAGCAGGAGGGGGCGCCACGACCAATACAAAATCCTGCGGTTTAAACCAATCCCTGTGAAGCGCTGTATCTGTAACCACGCCCCTCACAGAAGTTACGGAGAAGGAAAGACGAGAAGCAGAGGGAGAGTTTGATGTCAGAATAATGACTCGGCAACATAACAGTCCAGCAATGCAAAAACAATGACAGATAGATAGACGACTTATCAGTGAGTGAGTGAGTGGACGTCAGCTGTGTGTAAAGCAGTGGAAGAAGAAAGAAGAAAAAAGGCAGGAGAAACATGAGTCGACAGCAGCAGGAGTCCCAGGGAGTGGTTTTAACGGGTTACCACAGCAACGCAGAACTGTTGCCGAAAATTGGACCGCGTGCCCCCGTCACCTGTCCGCCCGTACAGGTCCACGAGCCCGCCATGCCCAGGTGCGACGAAATAATGTGTGTGTGTCGTTAGAAAATAGCGCTTTAAAGTGAGGCCAGTGGCAATACGTCTGTGTGAGAGTGTGAGAGCAAGTGGGCAAAGGTCGCAGTGAAAGTGTTTTTCCTCAGTTTTCAACTGTGCAGAAAAGTCTTAATGAATACAATTCGTCTCCTTTCAGTGTGTTAACTGCATTCTTAAGGCTGACCTGAACCCTGCTGTTACTTCAAAGCAAAACCTAATTACAACTTTGCACAATTTTTCCATGATGGGGTCAAGTCAACTCCGCCCTTGGCCTTGGGTTATGTTTTTCCTTTACCACTTTCCTAATCAGCAGATCAGCCTTGACTTGTTTAGACTATCATAGCTAGCCTATCTAACAACTTTTACACCACTGTAGGTGAAGTTCAGATAACCCCTTTTCTGCACTGTGCTATTAAAAAAAAACAACTCTGTTCTACATCGGTGTTGATCATACACATTCGTTGAAAGTTTCTACAGCAATGGAGTATTACATTACTTATTTACAAGTCATATCTCACTCAAGAATGCCAAATATGAGATGATTCTCAGCTTCTAACATGAGGATTTGTTACTTTTTATTGTAAATTGAATGTGTAAAGCAATATTTAAGGAATACTTAAACCTTAAACTGACATTTTTTGCCACAAACCTGACTAATTAACCTTGTGTATGTAGTGTTTTAGCTACATTTAGTGAAAATGCATGTGTTTAGAAATAAGTTATGCATTTGATTTTTAAATATAAATGTGATTATATTGCACAAGTTGGGTGAGAGTTTGATATTTTTTCCGTTAATAAATATAGCCCCCATTTACTTCTATCCACCAGAGTTTTTATTCATTTGTGAGCATTTGATTCTCGATTAGTAAGTATTTGATATACAAATTATCTTTATGTTGGTGAAGTATTTCTTTAAGTGTCTTTACAAGGTGTTGGGCCATTTGAGTATCTCTAACTCAAA